TTTTTGCTGCAGTACAAGTTGTTATTGGGCAGTCAGTGGCTCCAAAAGTGAGGTTTGTGCACCTGGGGACAGACTCAACAAACTGATACACAAGGCCAGTGACGTGATGGGGCAGAGCTGGACTCTCTGGTGGCAGTGTCACAGGGGAGGATGCTGTTTAAGATACGTGTCATCTTGGACAATGTCTCCCACCCACTCCATGACGTGCTGGAGCACATTCAGTGACGGACTCATTCCCCCTAGATGCATCACAGAGCACCACAGGAAATCATTCCTGCCGGTTGCCATCAACCTGCACAACTCCTCCCTCAGTGATTCAGCAGCTCTGAGTCAGTAAACTGGCATTTGGACTTTTTTAACCCATTGCATTTATAATTCATAATTATCTATCAGGCACAATAATTCAACTGCCACAATATTTTTCACCTCTTAAATGTTTATATTAATCCAACATACAATGCACATAACTGCACATATTTCTCTTGTTTACTCTAATTCTGTTGTTGTTTTATTCTACTGATAAATATATTGTATTTAAATTTTCACACTTACAGCCTCAGCACAGTGATGATACACATTTTATTTTAATAATTTAAGTTTTTATCCCCATGGTGGCATAATGCACATTTTATTTCTATTTTATTTTTAGAATAAAAATTAAAAAAAAAAAGAGAAATTCTCTCAAAATAAAATACATTTGAAAAATAATAAGTGACTTATCTCAAAATAATGACTTAGTATCTCCAAATAATGTCAAACTTTCTCAAAAATATGACTGCATGTCTCTAAATAACAAGAAACATTCTTAAAGTAATAACTGATGATAAACTTTAATAAAAAAAAAATAACTGTAGCATAATGCACATTTTATTTCTATATTATTTTATTGCTTTATATTTACCTACTTTTAGTACATACTCATATTCTTACTTCTTATAATTCTCTATTCTTCACATCGTAACGAATCATAATTTCCTCTCTGGGATCAATAAAGCATTTCTTATTCTGATTCTGCAGATATCTTTGTCAGGTTCAAAGCTGTCATTGAGCAAAATGAGGAATAATTCAGTGTCAAAACACAACTCCTGACCTCATGTAATAACAACCCAGTCATGGAGGAAGTGGCAGCTGGTCACACTTCCTGTAACTGGGTCTAGTTTCGCTTTATAAAGCACTGTAGCAGTGATGATGCAGCATGTTTAGCTTAACTGTGTTAGCAGCAGTATGTTAATGTGGCAGCATGTCGAGGGAGGACTCATTTTAACTGTAGCTGGGTCGTTTCTAATAGTGGGCTTCATGCAGGAAACAATATATGAACACATTTTCTCTTATATTTATCCACGATTTGCTCTTATTGAGTTGGTGCCCATTGATTTCTGTGACTCACCAATGTTTTCTTATTTTTGCTCTTCTCTTTAAAAATTTAACTAGTGGTTGAAAGCACTTTTACCAAGATCGGAAAAAATCATCTCGTCTTCGCCGTCTGTAAATTGTTGTTGGATGAAAGGAAGCACAAGTTTTAAATTTGAGGAACATAAAAAATGTCTAAATATCATATAATCAAATTTAGATTATTATGTTTCAGAGTAATTATAATGACTGGATTAATACATTTGTAGTCTAAAGAAATACGACTATACTTTGTCCATTCATCCCAATTACTCTAATTTCAGTTACTGTGCATCCCTCTGTTGACCAGTGCTGGAATGTAACTGAGTACATTTACTCAAGTACTTTACAAAAGTGCAAATTTGAGGTACTTTTCCTTTACTTGAGTATTTCAATCTCACTTAACTTTCTACTTCTACTCCACTATACATCAGAGGGAAATATTTTTCTTAATACTACACTACATTTAGTTGATAACTCCAGTTACTTTACAAGTTAAGATTTTTGTACACAAACTACATGAAAATATAAAATTATTAAAATGAAAGGTTCCAGCTTCTCGTATTCATGTTTGAGGTTTTGCTGCTTTTTCTTTTAATTGCTTTAATCTGTTAAACTGACTGAAATTTTCTGTGCTGAGTACTTTTATTTTCAATACTTAACACATCTCCCTAATTGTACTTATATACTTTTACTTAAATAACATTTTCAATGCAGAACTTTTACTTGCAACGGTGTGGTATTAGTGTTTTTATTTAAGTAAAGGATCTGAATACTTTCTCCAACGATGCTGCTGACATAACATTTACAGCATCACCAAATGCTTTGTCATTGCTGGTTTTTAATTTTCTGTAACACCAGTACGACACTCACGAAAATCATGTTTACTTTGTTTAAGATTATTTAACAGTACGTTGATTTCACTACTGCAGAAGTTCTTCTTGTTACAGCCTTTTTTTGGTGACAGCTTTCCAATTCTTGGTCATATGCCTGAGAATTGGCACAAGGTACAACACCTGCCCTTATATAGTGTATACGGGGCGTTACCTGTGCTAATAGGCGACTTATGCTAGAGTGGGATTCATCTTTAGCACAGCTGTTTAAGAACAGATCTGGATGGTATCCAAACGTTTGTTGGATCTGGAGTTGACTTGAATCCCGTGTTTTGTTTGTAAAATCTGCAGAAAAACCTGAATAAATGTAGCTTACATATTTGGTTACTTTTCCCCACTGGTAACTCAGCTGATAAATAGTACAGTGGTGATGCTGAGGGCCTTATGAGGGCCCCTCGAGGACCCTTGAAGGTCCCCTGCATTCACTTCTGGAACTGCTGATGTAGCTCTGTGCTGTCCATGGTGCTGAAGTCACTGCGGCAGTTCAAGGACATGTTGTTGCTACATGTTATTAGTGATACGACTATTATTTTTGAGCTGTTTCAAATGAATATTCAGATATAATGTGGGTAACTTGTTGCTATTGTTGTTGATTTCTTGCTTTTTGATTTAGTAGTTTCTTTTTATTTATTTGTTTTTGTGCTCTTTCATCTTGGCTTTTTAATTACACAGTTGTTTTACATTATGATGTAAAGTTTATTTGTGTGGACCCAGGGCCGTAATCACCTATTTAACATTGGGGGGAATCACCCAACCCTCAAGGGGGGTGGGTGGGGGAATTCACCCCACGATAAATTTCTGGAAACTTAACAGCTAATACATCTGAAACTCTACATCAGCCCCAATAACTGCAATTCATGCCTTTCCTCCATCTTTGATCCACCCTAGGAATAAAATCAATTCAAGACCGATATTTTAATAACACCTTTGCTTCTTTTCAACAGTTATCTGGAAAATATGCCCTACCTAAATAACACTTCTTTAGATTTCTTTAGATCAACAAACATACGTTCATATGTGTCTCATATGTTTGTTGATCTTGAAGAAGGCCCAAAGGCCAAAACGTCATCAAAATAAAAGAGATGCATATGGAGCCAGGGTGTGCGACACTTGTTGTCTACAATAAAGTCTACTGCCAGTGATCAGCACCTCATTATGGCTGAATCCAAATGTCCACCCTCTGGACTTTTGTGGACTGAACCCTCATAGACTTCAGTTGTACGTTGTGTGACACATTTACTGTCATCACGTAAAGTCTGCGAGGGCAGAGACCGCAAGCAGCCAAATGGCAGCCCTCAAGACTGTTTTACTCTTTGCCGTGGAAACGTTCAACCTTCAAATACTCCTGAGACCCTGTGTCCTCGTATGACGTCATCACATTTTCGGTTTACTGCACCTTATACTTTATACTACTTGACTTTGACCTGTTGTCCTCATTTGTGGACACTTTTTGTGCCATCTAGTGGTAGTAAGAGCACAATATCCACAAAAGTGGACAAGACCTGATCACATTTTAGGGTTGAAACTTGTTTATTTATGGTTAATAATGTTTGTAGTTTGATATGGCAACAAACTGACCAATTTTAGCAACAATAACAAGATAAGATGTTGTTAATTAGGAAGTACTTGTTCGAAGACACTGGGACTTCACTGTTGTCTCGTTTAAGGACAATGGGACTTTATTATCATTGACAGTGTTCAGGTTTTCATGCCTATCAGGTCCTACTGATCCCAAATAGCTAGGAGAAACTAAAAATGTATAACAAACCAAAGCTCAGGTCTCAGGAGGTTATATATGTCATATAAGTTAATGAACAGTGCCTACTCATCTGTCCCTAAAAATAACAGGATATAAATCCCATGTAGAGCCTTTTTTTGTGACTAAAGAAAAATGTATTCATACATCTCTACAAAACAGGCTACACACATTCAAAGACAGAAATGTTTGTAACTAAGGACAGGACTATAACTCAATAATGTGGGTATAACTGACATTAGAAGACCTTCTTTTGTTGTTTTCCAGCAATTCTTTAGCCTACACTGCACGGCCTGATAGACTACAACAATTAAATGCATTGTCATTCCCTCTACAGCCTATACTTCTACATATTTCTGTATCATGATGTGGTTGGATATTATTTCTGGCCTACACAATTCAAGTAGCATTTTAATAGGCTTATCTACCAATAACTAGGCTAGTATAACATATATCTTATATATGTAATATATGCAGTAATTATATATATTATAATTACTGCCTAGTTGGGAACCTGAAAAGAGTTGTTGCTACCTTGTTAGTGGCCAATGGGAATCCACATGAATAGGCTAAATAAAAAAAGAGAGGTGTTTTTCCAGATGTAACTTTTGTGCACTATCACAGATGATTTTACACTCTCAAGTTTGGCTTTGTTAAAGTTGGTCTCCACATTTATTTTTGGTTGTGGTTGGCTCTCTTCATAAGAGAACTACTGAAATCCGTCCAATCAGGCCAGCATCCAGCATGTCAGCCATTGTGAAAGCAGATGAGTTGCTGCTGTCAGCCAATCAAGGTCCAGCACTGTGAGGACTGTGCCCTCACCTTCATTCAATTTAAATCATCTTCCACCATTCACAAAAGCAGGACTTTAAATCTGATAAGGCTACAGAGAGCAGATAAAATAAGACCATCGTGGATCAGACCTGTTAACGCTCTCACCTTCACATCAGTGGTACATTTACCTGCTCTGCGCCTTGGAAGCAGATCCGACAGCTGGGAGTGGGGATGCAGGTCTCGCTGCTGCAGTTTGAATGCATCGCCTGCTCCTTGCACGGTCTGCCCCCCACCGCCCCATCCTCACTGGAAAAATTCCCCCCGTCGTTCCCCTCACATGCATCCCTGCAGCTCCGGCCCTCCTGGCAGCCCTCTCCGTCCTCCTCCTCCTCCCCCTGCTCTGCCTCGTCCTCATCGTCGGGGTGCCGACGTCCTTGGGAGCCGTGCGGTTCGCCTTCATCCCAGGTGTGGCGGTGGGTGATGGCAGTGCCTCCCCTCGCCTCCCCACCAGCTGGAACCGCCTCTCCCTCCTCTGTGCTCATAATAAAATGAAAAGTCGAAATAAAATTGCATAGATGCCACCCGACAGCTCACACAGTATCCACCACCACTGCGACGCAGGGATGTGATGCAGCCTTTAGGCTCCCAGATCACGGCGCTGTCGGCGGATGTGCCTCCGCTCCGTGGATACCGAACCGAGCCGTGCTCCTGTAGCCGAACCTATGGTGTGGCAGCCTGGCAGAGCTGCGGATCAGCGGCCGGATCCCCCCGGTTCTGCGGCCCGTCGGTCGGCTGGAACCGCCTCATGCGCTCCGGAGACCCGGGGAGCATTTCCAAGCAGCCTCCATGCATCGCAACGGGACTCAGCCGTCCTGAAGCGCCGGATTCCCCCCTCTCTTCCTCTTCCCTTCCTCCTCCTCCTCCGCCTCTTTAGTCCCCACCGAGGATGCTGACAACTGCACAGCAGCGGCGGGGTAAGGAAGACCGTCCTCCAAACGGGACAAACCCGGGTTGAAACCCCCCCCTGATGTGTCCGAGCCTTCACCCTGCTGAGGGGCTCTTGAGCAAGGATCCTCAGCTCCAAGTTCTCTGATGAGTCTTGCGCTCTCAGGAAGCAGAAAAGACCATTTCCCCGGGGAGATGACCAATCAATCACATTATTATCCCATTAATATGATGGAGGAGATAACTTTCCAGACCCATGCACGCACTACTTCTGCACAGCCGGCTGGAAGAAAGAGATGAGCTGCATCATATTCACAGCAGCAGCAGCCCGGCCAGTCCGCCCGCCTGCCTCAGAGAATACTTTATGTGGTGAGATGTGGAGACCCGCAACACCCTCCCTGTGTTAAAGGGGTCACCTGCTGGGTTACAAATGCCATCATTATCGAGGGTGGGGGCTTCAAGCGCTCTGAATTTTAAAGAGGCGCCTCAGCCTATAAATGATGGAGCTATTAACTCTCTGAAGCCTGTGGTTCTCTGAAGGTGGCTGGTGGAGAATTAGGGGTCCACTAAGGGGGTCTGCGAGTATATAACACATCATGCTTAGCAAATTTAACTTTAATGCAATTAATGAAATACAAAATCTGTATCAGCTCATATTGGTGGCTTCTGTCTCTTTAATTTGGGTTAGGTCACTGGGTTTATGGAGTTCTTGGTGTAGATGAGGGATCACAGGGGTCCTGACAGGGTCACAGTGTTTCTTTTAGGGGCTCTGGCTACTTAAGAGACTCCTGATGGGGTTCCTGTGGTCTTTGGTGGGGTAAGAAAGATTCTTTAGAGGCTCTGTGGTTTCCTGATGTTACTGGGAAGCTTCTTTTGTGGGGTTTTAAGGGTCCCTGATGTGGTCACATGGATCTTTGAGAGTTTCTGAAGCTACATTTTCTCTCCTTCTCCTCCCTCTGCCCACTAAGGTTGGCACTTAGGATGCATTCACACTGGCGCTATTTGGTCCGCTTTAAACGAACCCTGGTCTGCTTCCACGGATAGTTCAGTTCGTTTGGAGTGGTGTGAACGCTCATTCGAACTCTGATGCAGACCAAACAAGTGAACCCTGGTCCGCTTGAAAACTGGGGGTCTCGTTTCACTTGCAAGTGAACCCTGGTGCGGTTCGCTTACAGTGGAAAATGTGAAAGGACTATCCAGCGAACCAAAGAGAGGAAGTGACGTGTAGCGCAGTGCATTTTGGTGTTTGGTGTTTTTGTGGTGACCAAGCCGGCTGAAGGGGATGGATCTCCGTTTTCGGTCCTGGCCAATCGATTAGCCGGGTTTTCTTCTTCCTCGTGCTTTTTTTCTTCCTGGTCAGTGGTCGTTTTGGGTAATACCGCCCTCAAATGAGCAGCTGTTGTAAGTGCATGATGTTGTCCAGGCGGTTTGGTCCGCTTGAAAGTGAGAAAGTGAACCGAACCAGATGAAGGTGTGAAATTTTCCCCGCCCAATCAAACCGAGTCCCCTGGAGTATCCTGGTATGAATGCGCCCTCATATAACAGCAGCACTATTACTGGTTCGAAAGAGCACCCTTTAAAGGCCCAGTGTATAGGATGTAGGGGATAAACCGGCAGAAATGGAAGATAATAAGTATGTTTTCTTTAGTGTATAGTCACCTGAAAATAAGAATCATTGTGTTTTCATTACCAAATGAGCCGTTTATATCTACATATCGAGCAAGTCCTCTTCCATGGAGTCCACCATGTTGTTTTACAGGAGCCCAGAATGGACAAACCAAACACTGGCTCTAGATAGGGCCATTTGCTTTTTTGTGTAGTAGTAGAAGTAGAAGCCCCTCTGCGAAAAGCAGCTTCGGAAAAGCAGATTTTTTTAAATGTGAAACTGCTTTATTCAGTGTTTTTACCAATTCTAATCACCTAGATGTCATTTATAAAAACCGCATTTGCACAAACCGAGGCATTTGCCACTTCCAAAGCAAAAGTTGTAATGTATAAAAACAGACTTTGACCCGTACTTATGAATATTCTGGAGATGGGAAATTGGCAATGCAGATGGTCCAGTGGAGCTACAGGCCATTTGAAGTGCTTTTGAGTGAAACACTCCCCCATATCAGCAACAACAGCTCTGAAGAGGATCACAAACATTAGTCAAAGCATCTAATTTTATCAATTAAGGCCTGCTGTCACTGGTGGTTTAAATCAGTGGTTCTCTAAATGTGGTTATGCAGGTGTTCCTCTGCGGGGCCGGGAGGGTCTCCTGCCTCCAAACAAACAATTTCATTATCAATCTAATCATTAATTCTCAGATAACCTGCCTAATTAAAAAGGCAGAAAATGACAAAAGCAAAAAATATATATATTTTGCCTAACCAAAGGTAAAAAAAAATATGAAAATAAAAAAGTATTTATTTTTTGATGGCATAAAAATGAACACAAGCAAAACTTCAAATTTAAGAAGCTGTAACCAGTTATTTTCACTCTCTCTTTGTCCTCATATTACTCAATTAATCAATTTAATCAATTAATTATGTCAAAAGACAGTTATACTGTACAACTCAATGACATGCAGATGCAATGCAGATGTTGTATTAACAGTTTGATATTACTGATTTCCCCAGTTGGGTGAGTTAAGAAATGATTATTGCTCCAAAACAGTTGCAATAACAAGCATGTTTAACTAGTGGATGTACATAGGTGTATGCTGGTGCACTTTACACCCCTGTAGCTATTACTTACAGGTATGAAAAGCTAAGGAAACATAATCCAGATATCGAATCTGACTTTAACCTGAGCCGATTTTAAATGTTGTAATAGATGTCTTTGGAACATTTGTACCCCCTTGAATGGTGCTCTTCTCACCTAATCCCACCCACATTTTAAGATCTGGTGGTTTGTATGGACCAAACATCCAGGAAAGCACAAAACAGCAGAAGAGGGCTTCCTAAATGGAACAGTAATTCAAGCTCATTATTATTTAACTCATTACAATCCAGAGTGGCTGCCAATCCAAGCCGCTTTGTGTTTTTCATGTACCTATTTGTGCACATATTGAGCAAATTCATTTTTCTCACTTTTCTGTTTTGACAGTTTCCCTCCATTTTTCTTTCTTATGGACCAAAGATTCAAAACACAGGGCCTTGCTAGCCACACTGCCTTCATCTAATCTTATGATGGGAGGGTTGCCAGTTTAAATCCCTAAACTGTGTGTATCAGTAATGGTTTGCCCGGCATAACAAACCCTCCTGAGGAATCCCGAAAAGGACATTCAAGCCTCAAAGAGTCCAGATCTGTGTCTGATTAAAGAAGAGTCTGACTGTACGAGTTAAAGTCTCATCTGGGAATTTGTTGAAAAGATAGTGATGCTGCAAGATCAACAACTCCCCCCTGAATGGAACAGAAATGCAGGTTAAGGTAGTCTGAAATGAATGTAACTGTCCACTCTTTGGCTTCAGAAAAGGACAAAAAGTCTAAATTACTGCCATGACCTTGTATCTTATTCTCAACCTCCAAATGGACCCGATAATAAAGTTGGAGGAGCCTCGGCCGGTGAATTATTTGTCGGAGGAGACTGCTTTTCCAAGAAGAATCTTCTCTCTTTTTTTCTTTTGAGGATGTCTATCGCTTTCCGGGGAGCGGGCCAGTAATGGACTCTAATGCAGCAAAGGAAATTATCCACTCATGTCCAATCACTACCTACGAGGCACCGATCAATACCAGGTCCCCAGGGCTCAGAGGGAGACCGGGCTCGTGCTGAGAGCATGGAAGGCCGGGTGCACTGCTTCGTTTTGTTTAGGCGGGGTGAGTGAGATGGGCTGTCTCTGAATTTACTTTTGGATTTTACCTTCTGTCTGATGGTGTGGCGCCCATCCATCTAATACATATTTAAAGGACCTGTGTTATAGGAATTCAGGTTTTACTCTACTAATACAGGACACATGACATCAAATCAACGATGGTTAATAAGACAAAGTAAGATTTGTCTGAGAAGAACAATTTTGGCGAGTCACCCTTTATCAAGAGTTTATGAGTTGTAAGTACACACTTTATTAATGGATAATAAATTATTCAGTAATGCTCTATACATCAGTTATAAGCCATTTATGAGGCTGTAAAAATGCCCTTCACTGTCTTCAATTGGCAATGTTATAGGGCCACCAGGTCTCACTCGGAAGTCGTCAAAATCCGGCACTTTGTTGGTGACTTCTGTTGTCAGACACCGACAAAAAAAGCCGCCATTTCACATCGGCATCATACAAGGCCGGTCACTGTCATAGTTTAACGGCACCTGGCGCCATCAGGGGGAAACACAGCGGGACAACAACAAAAGTTAAGGTGGTGAAAGTCCGATTAGGGTAGGTGGGAGTGGTGCTGGATGGGTGCAACAACTACCAACTTTCACCCGGGAGGTCGGTGTTCGTCTCCTGTAAGATTGTAAAGCCAAACCCTGTTATTTTTTCTTAGACCCAACCACGTGTGTGTTGGCTAAAAAAAACAAACATCATTTTGCGGTGCTGTACCGACGTAGTGCGTTTTTTTTTTTTTTTTTAAAGAGGGAGTATGCAAACTGTACATTTTCTGTGAAAACGTTAGTGTGTTTTGAAACAAGACAATGCATGTGACAGGCAGAACTTGACACGGCAACCCAGAACGTCAACAACCAATGCACCCAGGGTACCCAGCACGTCATATCTGGACATGAAAAAGTCCATGACCAAACATCGATACAGTATGTGACGAGGTTGGGGTGAGAATGTGTTGTGAAGGGTAACAGAAGCATTTTCAAAGTTTGACCCTATTTTCCCATGATTTTGTGCCAAGCTCAGAAGGAACAAGAATTTTTAAAATTGGTCCAGTACTGAGCAAGAGCGCTGCCGACTGTGATGTAACCATTCAGGGCATTTGTGAGGCATCAATTTACGTCCACTAAAAGTGTTTGTTTTTGCCACTGACAGG